TGCAGCATGTGCTTATTGCTCTCTCAGAGCAATAAGCGCAGAAGCCCTGGGTACTTAAAGTAACAAACATCACAATTAGAGCATAAATACAACAATCATAACATAAAAATTTGTATCATGTGGCAGTGCTATATACAACTGTCGGTTATCACGATTATGATAGATAGATGTGGAAAACAAGGGCGTACTACTATTATTGAATAGTGCATGAATACTGATATAAATTCAGATTTACAATCTGAAAACAAAATTCAAATATTGTTTCATAGAATTCCTTTATGTCCCTAATTCTAGTAAACCTATATTTTTCTTAATATTGAGGTAGTATATGACTAATTAGTATTAGGTAGTTTAGTATTTTTGCACAAGTGAACATAACAAATACTACCGGTACATGTTGATTGGTCAAATCTTCCTCTCGGTGAATACTCCCCAACTAATCACCTCACCTTCAGTAAATAATTGTTAAATACACGATGCTGTTATTGAATTACAACCAAAATTCAAATTTATAAAAAAAAATTGGCAGGAAATTTTTGGTCTGGGAAGCCTGCTGCCAGGAAGAAAAATATTTTATCAAGGGTTAATTTGAACTGCAACCAGTGTTTCTTTTTTGAATACCCCTGGGCTTGGGGTGTGTATAAACCCACAGGCACATGTATAGGGTGTCCCAAAAAATGTCCCCTCTGTTGTTGATTAAGTACTATAAAGCCTGGTTTCCATATGGTCAAAAGATCGAGTCATAATCTTTCTCATCAGCCGAAATACAACATTTTAGAACTGAAAACCAGGCTTTACTCACAGTAATTAGCCAACAACAGAGGGGACATTTTTTGGGACACCCTGTATATGCTGGGAGTTTGGTGGAAAAGCACCAATGGATATTTTACAATAACAAACGTTTATATATAAATGATCAAAATTAATGAACAATACACTCTGCCTCTCAGCCATGGATTGTATTATCCATGATTACACTCCGACTCTGCAACTGAAAGTTCAAAATTCAACTGCAATATAAAAGTAGATTCACTCTTACTACAAAAAGCTTCATTAAGATTGTCTTCCAGTTTAACAGAATAACAAATAAAAACAAGTATTAAAAGTACAAATATATTTATTACATATCTTTAGAACTATTACAGTAAAGACACGTACTGATTACTGTATATATATTTTGTAAAAAGGCTTATTAAGATGGATAATTTGAAAGTTTGAAACCTTCTGGTCGATCAAGGTTAAACATAAATGATAAATGAACTACTTACTTTCCTTTAAAAGTTTGCTTGATCATATTCTGTCTCCGTAATTGGAAAGCAAACTAGAAATTGTGTTGTCATACCACTGTGGCGATAAAATATAATTCCCGCATGGACAACTTTGAACGAATAAAACTGACGATATTTTAGGGCAATCTGGATAATTTTCGTTTTAAAAGCATTAACATAATATCTTTTACCCATGGTGGAGCGATGAGCTTGGTAAAACTTCGCAAAGTATCTCAAATTCGGGAAAATTCGCCTTGCTTCATGTTGTTCGCCATACATTTCTATAGTAATTTGTATCACTCCGTGGTCCCCGGAAGTGATTTTCGCATATATAATTTGGCTTCACTTTTTACACCTAGAGAAGCTATATCCAGTCTACTATTAGATCAGTGCTCCACTCTCGTTTCACCAAAATAATAATTATTTCCCCCGTATATTGAATAATTATATTCAAAATCATTGACCAATCAGATTGCAAAACAGACCAGCCGATGCCAGGGTCTTTTTCGCTGACCATCCGACCGAGGAAGCAAAAAGCCCTGGGTACGAGGTTCGCTTCAGCGAATAATATACAATTATTGGACGAGGTTGAGCAAAATATCGTGATTTATCAGTGGACAGTGGCGAGCAGATCCGCGAGCCACTGATAAATCACGATATTTTGCGATAGCCGAGTTCAATATTTGTTTTGTCATTTACCGATTAGTATTTATAGACTATTATGGGCACAAGCTTAATAACAAATACAAGAACAGTCAACAAAAAAAGTATAATTTAGTCCGGCATACACAACGTAAAAACACTGTATTGCAATTCTGTCAAACACTGTATTGCAAATCAAAACATTGTAATTCTGATTTTTATAAAATCAAGCAAGAAAACAATTTAACTTTTGTTTCCTTTTTTCTGTTTTCGGCGTCCTTTTGCTCCAGTAAAGATGACAAATCGTTTCTGAGAGCTCGGCAAAACGAGCCATGTTGACATTTCAAAGGAGAAGACGATATTTTTTATTATTATTTATTTGAAAAATTCCTGGTTTCTGACAGGCTAACAGCCAACTGTGAAATTGCCATGTCAACTCAATGGCTAACCAAATACGGATTTTTCACATTCATATTAGCAAAATGACGTCAAAGAGTCAATATGAAAAAATTTGGACGCGTTTGCGCCATATTACCTGCCACGTCCCCAGACGCTAATAAAAAAATTTCATGCGAGCCACTATATGAAGGTTTCATGAAGTAGTGCATCACATTATAGGCGAGCGAAGGGGAGTGGGATATGAGCGTTCTGGTTAGCGCCTGACCGATCTTGTATACTAGCTGTCGAACATACAAGTAAACAACAGATCTAAATATAAATTCCTTCATGTATATCACCAGAAAGAAATAAAGCTATCCTTACCCGAATTATTCAAAATATTGTCGATCGTTTGCGTCGTGAAAATCAAACATACTGCATTTAAATAAACTCGTAACTGAAATCTTGAGACGAATCTTGCAAATGCAATACAAAATAAAGTTTCATCACTCCCTTGTTTAGAAAACGTCTTGTAGTTGTATATTTTTAAAATAAATTGCTCAATGTGATAAAAATGCACTGTCATTTTTTCATACCTTGTAAATTTATTATATAAACCGGCTTCTATAGCCTCGTTGAACTCTTCAAGTGTTGACATCTCGGAAATAAAGCGTGAAATGATATCAAATATCATCTGACTGTAATCACATGTTTAATTGAACAATTTGAAATGTTGTTTCCTCAAAAAAAATGGCGAAAAAAGCCCACAAACTGTCGAAAAACCACGATTTGCAAGAAACAGACGAATTTTGCAAGAAACGGCACAAGATCTCCCAGGCGCTCCTCAATTTTCGATGCCTCAAGCACATAACTCCCTGCGCTTGTTCGTCGCGATGCACTACTTCATGTAAACCTTTCATATAGTGACTCGCATGAAATTTTTTTTATTAGCGCCTAGGGACGAGGCAGCCATATTACTACGACGACGAGAATCATATTGATTCGCTGACGCCATTGATATGACGCAACGACGGCTGCCGAAGGATTAAGGAATTGTTTTTTCATCTTAATACAAATAAAATACAAATGTTTGTTTTGAATTTTTTTTAAAATAATAAAACAATTATTCAATTCGGTTTTCGCACAGTATGAAGAATTATCAAGCCCTCAGTTCAGTGCTGTTATCACTGCCTCAGCCTTCGGCTTCGGTTGATAACGGAAAACTTCGGGCTTGACAATTCTTCATATCGTGCTGAACGTCATTCAATAATTGTTAATTATAATATAGCATTTGTAAATTCTGAACGCTGATTGCCGGCTAAGAGCCGTGTTGATATTTAACAATTATTCGCCGAAGGCGAGTAGTCTAGGACCTGTACTGTATATGAGTTTGTATGCATTTCATTTAGGACAGATAATCTCAACTGTTTTAGGGCAAGTTGACCATGACGGTCAACATGGTAACGCTGCCCGAACCCTACTCCGGGACGAAACGTCCTATAACAAACGTACTTGTAAGGAGGTGCGTCCAATCCCGGACTCATCGAACCTGCAAGTACGTTTGGTTTTTATTCCATACACACATTTGTAGCTCTTCGCGATATATTCGTCGATGTTTTGTGAACATTTTCCCGGCCAAAAATCACTGGGCAAGAAAATACTTCTTTATCTACGTCTACATTACCTTTACTGCATTTTTTCTTTGGTTTTTCTTCAGTCTCAGTATGTTAGTCACCGAAAAATGTTCTTTAAAGTTTAGATTTATCGGCTAAATCTCTTCCGCCATATTTGTTATTGTTATTGCAACGTAAGCAGTTTAGCGGGTGAGTTCGGGCGAAAAGCAGGTGAGTTCGGCAAAAAGCAGGTGAGCTCGACGACAAGCTCACCTTCTCTAAACCAATCAGAAAGCCGCTTTTAACACAGGTATGGGATAAGAAACTGACCACACCCAAAAACGACGCTTTCGCCATACTGCTATCTACCAAACCATAAAAGCTTTGGCTATTCTGAGGTGCTTACATGGTTCAGAGAAATGCCTAGCACTAATATTTCACAAGAAAATGGTCATGCAATAATCATAGTTAAACGTCAATTTGTGGCTTGCAAATTCAGATAAACAGCAGTGGACTTACATTACCTTTTTCCCTAAATCTTTTTTATAGAAACATAAATGGTACTTATTTAAATATATTATCACTGGTTTAGTGTAAAATAGTTAATATTTTCTGAGCGAAATAATAATTTGAAATGTGCCTACCTCCTGCATGCAAATGGACGTATTTGGCCAAGTTCTCCACTTTACTCCGCTGTTTATCGGCGATCTCGTCGATATCCTACAAAAAATGTAAATCACCTCAGACATATAATGGCATCAAGAACATTTTAAACAAGTTTCAACTTGGTTTCAAGTAGATCATAGCTGTTTAACCATCGACAAGGTAAATCCACAACTTTGTCCAAATTCGGCGCCATTTTGTCATCCCATGTCGCTTGTTAACAATTCAGCCTGTTATAAAGGGTTAAATTTATTATTAGTGGAATGGAAATGGCTTGGATGGAAGATTAACAAGGATGAAGAGAAATATCGATGCATCGCGAACCGTAATAGTGAAAAATGCCGAGCTAAACATTGCTACCCCTGCTGCTTCCGAAAGACGGAATGAGTCTATCGATAACCAGTATCGTCTCAGTTTTAACAATTCTAACTCGAGCATGTTTGATAGATTTAGCAATACCACAACAACTATCAACCGAAGCGACTCGGATACTAGCGAAGGCAAAGCAAATGGGCAAGAAGTGTGTTCAGACAAGCAGAACGAAGGCGATTATATAATGAATTGCAAAGACTGTAGTAAATTATCTGTAGAAGTAGCAGAAATAAAATTGGACTTGGCTTTACTATTCCTAAAAGTTAATACTGCTGAGGCGCCGGATACATGTGAATGCGATCGGCTACGAGGCGAAAATCAGCTATTGAAAGAAGAAATTAAACTACTCAAGGAAACACTGCAAGGCATGGAATTGTCAAAATCGCCAATTAACATCGCTTTCGATAATATGAATAATCAACCAACCGTCACAGACAATGACTCTGTCGTGCTAATTGATATAGAAGAATCCGAAGTGAACGTAAACACTAGTATAAATAATTTACTATCTGCAATAGACAATGACAAACAATATAATACCCGAGGGCCAGTTGTTAATGACTCTCTTATGAAATATAGCAATCCCAATAAACCAGTTAGTCATGCTGATGAACCAGTCGTCCATGACTCCCTGACCTCATTTGACCATCTCCTAAAAGAAAAGGCCGCTCTAAATGCCAGCACGCACCGTCATAAGAGGAATCAAGTGTATAGTTCTCTAACTAACACAACACGTTTTTCGAAACCTAATTACCGGCGCAATCAGTTTTCCAAGCCTAAATATCAATATCGTCAAACAAATTTTCCCTCAAAGAATTTTCGAAGCGTCGCTATCGAAGGATTCCGAAACCAAGAACAACAACCGCAGTAAGTACAGACACAAGAGCAAGCCAATTCAACCCGATATTCAAAGTGAAACCTTTCCAATCAAAGTCAGAGTTACAGCTCGGAGAAACGAAGTCCTGGGAAGCCTACCTACAGTTCGTCAACCGCACCTTGGACCAGTTTGGAACCCTCGTTTAGGCGCAATCCAACGGACATGTGATAATCATACCTCTCAGAGGAAGGTAAATTTTAACAATTTAATTAACATTAAAACTAATACAAACTCTCTCCCCCCCATTGGAAAGCGCTGCCTGCCCAACCTTCTCATTTCCAATGTGCGCTCAATTGCCTCTAAGATAGATGAATTAAGTGTCGTTGTTTCCATCAACCAAATCGACATTGTGTGTATTACTGAGACTTGGCTTTCCTCTACGATTCCCGACTCGGCAATATCTCTTCCAAATTTTAATATTATTAGAAATGATCGCTCTTCATCTTGTGGAGGTGGAGTGTGCATTTTTATAAACAACAGTATATATTGTCAACGCCTAACTGCTTTTGAAGATCCTACAGTTGAGTCCTTGTGGCTCCTCGTTAGACCCACATGGCTCCCCCGCTCGACTTCAGTTATACTATTGGCTGTAATCTACCACTCCAATCAGCTGGCCACACCGACAATGTAAACCTTTATTCTCATATCCAAACCAATGTTGATACTTTCATGCAATCACATCCTGATGCCCTTGTTTTAATCACAGGAGACTTCAATTATAGGAGTACTGGTTTCAACGCAAAATATATCCAAAGATCAATTGGCCTTTTCCAAATAATTAAGGTGCATACTAGAGATAATGTAACCTTAGACTGGTGCCTAACTAACCGCAATGATAGCTTATACGATCCTATCAAATTTCCACCTCTAGGAAACAGTGATCATAACATGGTTTGTTTAAAATCCCTAAATCCCCCTTTAAAACCTGATAAAGTTAAGGTATGGAAGCGGGACCTTAGGGAAAGCTCGTTACAACCTTTTGGCCGCTGGATAACTTCATTTGATTGGTCAGATGTTTTTACTACAAATGCGTGCGAAGATAAATATGGAAAATTTAATGACATAATGAGTGATATGATTGATATTTTACTCCCTTTGAAAAGAACTAAAGTAACTAAATGTGACAAACCATGGCTGACGTCATCAATAAAAGAGTTAATTATAAAACGTCAAAAAGCTCTCCATTATTATGGGAAAAATTCTGATGCGTATAAACTCTGGCGAAACCAAGTCCAGCAATCAATTAAATCGGCCCGATTTAAGTATTATGCCCAATCAGTTGAGAAACTAAAAACTTCCAATCCCTCAAGATGGTGGAAACAAATTAAGTCGTTGGGTGGTATATCTTCCAAAAGTTGTTGGTATAATCAACTACTTTCTAATGATATTCCTAATTGCCATGACTTGGCTGAAGTATTTAACTGTTTCCTTTCCGGTCTTACATCACATTTTACTCCTTTAACACGCGAGGAAGAACAATTGGATTTCAATGTACCAGGTGAATACCTCATCGACGCTAATAAAGTGTACAATGAACTCCGCAAAATTAAAACCAATAAAAGCCCTGGTCCAGATATGATACCTAACAAAATTTTGAAAGTCTTTGCATATGAACTTGCTCCAGTTATTACGGACATTTACAATTCGTCTATCATTCAGGGCGTGTTTCCGATGAACCTCAAACGGTCTATTGTAGTTCCAATCCCTAAAGTCTCACTACCTCAAAGCGTGGAGGACGATCTAAGACCCATATCATTAACGTCCCAAATTTCTAAGGTCATGGAGGGGTTCACCTTGACAAAATTATTTGCCCAAATTGAGAGTAAATTGGACACGAAGCAGTTTGCGTTACCAGGGAAATCTACGACTCACGCCCTAACATACCTCCTGCACACCATTTTGTCTTCCCTTGAGAACACTTCCTGCTCCGCTAGATTGTTTTTTGTAGACTTTAAAAAGGGGTTCGATCTTGTTGATCATAATGTCATAATATGCGAGCTGGAAAATCTTGGTGTACATCCTGCCATAGTGAGGTGGATAAAAGCTTTTCTTAGCAACCGTGAACAGTGTGTGCGAATTGAAAACTCATACTCGTCGTGGAAGAAAACAAACGGTGGTCTACCACAAGGAACAAAACTAGGCCCGCTACTTTTTGCAGTCCTTGTAAATTCTTTGCTCAAGGATTGGCCTGGGAGAGTCAAATTTGTCGACGATACTACGGTCTTGGAAATAATTCCACGATGTTCACCCAGCTTCCTACCAATTATCGTGGACCAAATATCCGATTATGCAAACGAACGAGGAATGAGACTAAATCCAAAGAAATGCAAAGATATGGTTATTACGTTTCTTAAGTATAAACTGGTAGAAAATGACATTTTTATAGGCGGCGATGTGGTGGAGAGAGTCTCCAGTTTTAAACTACTAGGCGTGTGGTTGACTAACAATCTTTCGTGGGATATACACGTAGATAAAATTTTAAAGAAAGCGAATTCACGCATCTATGCTTTACGCCTATTAAAGAAAGCTGGATTGAGCCCTTTAAACATTGTTCATATTTATTGTGCAGTTATAAGATCCCAGTTGGAGTATGCATCACCAGTTTGGTCCGCTCTTCCAAAGACATTATCAGACCTTATTGAGTCGGTGCAAAAAAGAGCTTTAAAAATCGCGTATCCCCATCTATCTTATGATGAAGCATTACACAAAAGTAACATTAAACTACTGAGTACAAGAAGAGAAGAAGCATGTAGGAAATTAATTAACTCACTTCGAGACCAAGATTCGCCACACACCCCTTTAACTGCAATAGTTAAATCCGGTCTACCAGACCGAACTCATAATTATGATCTGCGTAATAATAATCCGCAACTCTTACCGATTATGTCTGAACGGTTAAAGAACTTTTTTACCATTAAATATAGTTAACATTTTATTAATACATTTTTATAATAGGTAGTTAATAATAAGTATATAACATTGTTAACGTAAATTTTAATATTTAATATTGTAAATATCCTTTCCATGCAATTCAGCTTTAGCTGCAAAATGGATTTTATTAAACTAATAATAATAATAAAGACTGGATTTCACTCGATTACCTTACTGTACACGTCATCCAGCAGTTTTGCCAAGGGGTCATCATATCACAACACTGATCGTTCGAAAATGTCATAGCCGAGTCATGCACAATGGGGTTAACGAGACACTGGTCGAATTACGATCCAAGTATTGGGTAGTTAAGGGAAGACAGGAAGTTCGAAAGGTAATTTCCAGATGTACTACATGCAAACGAATTGAAGGCAAATGTTACCGAGCACCATTGCCACCTCCACTACCTCGATTTAGAGTGTCCGAAGACTTCGCTTATACGCAGTTGGGAGTGGACTTTGCAGGTCCGGTGTACGTAAAGAATGTTTACACTCGAGCTAAGACGACGTACAAGGCTTACATCGCCATATTTACATGTGCCTCTACACGCGGCATTTATTTGGAACTAACTCCTGATCTTTCTGCGCAAGCTTTCGTTCGAAGTCTACAGCGTTTCATAGGACGACGCGGAGTACCTAGCTTCCTTGTATCGGACAATGGGAAGACTTTCAAGAATTCTACTGTAAAGAAATTCATACAGCAGTATGATATCACTTGGAAATTTAATGTCGCTCGTGCCCCATGGTGGGGTGGATTTTTTGAACGCTTGGTGCGCTGTGTCAAACGATGTTTGAAAAAGACTCTCGGCAATGCCCGTTTTCCTTTGAAGAATTCGAGACTGTTTTAATTCAAGTGGAAGGAATTCTGAATTCGCGTCCACTCACGTACGTGCACGAAGAAATGAGCGAACCACTCACGCCTTCAACCATGTGTGTTGGTCGACGATTGTTAAGTAATCCAATAACGCAGGAGAAGAAAACCAACGACAACCTAGTTGATGATGCAAGAAGGAGAGAGAGGTTCCTGACTCGAGTATTAAATCATTTCTGGGAACGCTGGCGTAAGGAATATTTGACGGAACTACGAGAACAGCACAAAGTAAAGAATGGTTCAGCAGGTGATTCGATCAGCCAGGGAGACATTGTTGTGGTTCATGAAGATAAAATTCCTCGACAGCTATGGAAAGTCGGTAGAGTTGATGATTTAATGCGTGGTCGAGACGGGAATGTACGTGCAGCAACTATTAGAACATCGTCTGGAGGTCGAGTGCAGCAACTACAAAGACCGATTCAACGATTGTATCCAATAGAAATTCCTACGAAAAACCCGGAGACTGTTCCACAGATAAAGTTCGTTCGAGACAATGTGCCTAATGCAATACAAAACTTTAAGACTTGATTGTAAATATTGATCTACGATAAATATATCGATAAATTAAGCTACGAGACATTGTGTTGACATTTATTGATTAATGACAATGGACAGTTGATTGACCTTGGTCAATCAAGGGGGGAGTGTGTAGAAAATAATTGACATTATCGCGATAACTTATAATTATGCATGACGTAGAATTATGCATGACGTATAATTGTGAACAATGTGCTCTCTTGTAATCTGTATGTTTTGAAGTTCTGATCGAAGTTTATCAAGAAAAATTCTCAAAGTTTACGAATAAATCAGAAGTAATCAACATTTTATTTCACGGTCTATAAAAAGTCATCTTGCCCTCCCGGGGCGCTGAGAGGGCAATACGCTTTTTTCAGCCCGCGTTATCGCGAAAAAAGTTGTATATTTCAATTTTCAAGAATAAATTTATGTTATTTTATAAGTTTTTTTTGTCGTTTTGCTGTTTTCCATTGCTGAATGAGGATTTTATAGCAGGCGCACCCCCTGACTGCTAAAGCAGCTAGTACTACGGCTGAAATTTTGATAGCGACAGCGTTTACAAAGGAATCTTGAACAAATTGCGATCCAACAAAGCCATATAATAAATTCCTTATTAACCTCGTTTGCTCGGTCTGTACGGGAAAGTATTGCCTGAGGTTTTATCACAGAGACCTCGCTCCTTCGTCGCTCGGTCTGTACGAAACCCTCAGGCAATACTTTCCTGTACAGACCTCGCGCTCGGTTAATAAGTCTTCCTAATCTATGCTTCCCTGAGAGAAGACCCTAGGAACGAAGTTGGGTATAGGGGTGGTTAATATTTTCACATGTATATAGTATTTTTACTGAAGAGAAACAATTATTTGTTGCCCTCTGTACAGTTGTATTTATATAAGAGCAGTGCTAGTTTCATTACTTGTAAACATGACACGTGCTTAGCACATTAAAACCTGGTTCTCACTATACATGGCTTATCGCGATAAAGGCGCTAACGATTAATTATTATCGCGATAAACGCCAGTGGCGACAGTAATTTACGAATTGGTTATTTATGTATATTTTTTATTTAAGAGTGAAATAAAGTAGTATTGTATTATATTATATTGTATTGTTGGGAACGTGATAAATTATCGTGTTAAACCTCAAAAGATCATGATAAGCCATCGCGATTATCGCGATAAAATATCAAAAAGTTTTGATATTTTATCGCGATGCCTTATCAATTTAATCAATTTCAATTTATTAAAAGATACCAATTTTGATGCATATGAGTAAAAATGTCTACAAACGCTCCTTATTTACAAGTTATTAATTTTTTATTTTTTTTTAAAAAATTTCATGACGCTAGCCTCATCAACATACGTTGGTTTTCATGAGGGACGTCAAAATTTAATTAGTTACACTATGTACAGAATATTGGAGGTGTGACCCAATACATTAGGATTAAAAAAGTTAATTAATTTTTAATTTTTTTTTAAACTATAAATAGATCTCGCCTCTTTTGCTTCCCGAGAAAGGCTGTTCCAAAGTTTTGCCCCGCTGTACTTAAAGCTTTTTTTAGGAATTCTCGTCTTGGTTTTAAGAGAGTTCTAGTTAAGAATGTAACGAGTTCTAGTTAAGAATGTAGTTCTAGGTAAGAATGTAACTAAACAATTATTATTTAAAACTAGAGTTGTAGGCCTTACTACCGGCCATAATAAAACTATTAGCAAACCTACTTGTCCTATGCTTTGGTATTGAAAGACAGTTATTATTACGTAGAGAGTTTATGGGATGTTTCATCACACATTTGATCGAAAAGTTTCTCGCAAATGGTCTTTCTCCGCAGGAACAGTGACACCACCCCAGCACGTACCAACGCATCTTCATATTTGAGGTCAGGAAAGATTATACGAAGGGCTCTGCGTTGAATACTCTCGATCTCGTCGCTCAAGTATCGCGCCAAGCTATAGTGCCATACCCCACACGAAAATTCTAAGATTGGTCGAACGCAGGTAGTATAAACCCGGACTAACTTGCCCGCTGGTATAGAGGATCTCTTAAGTAATCGTAAGGCATACAACCGCTTTGAAGCTTTCTTGCAGATATAATCAACGTGCTCGATCCATTTAAGATCTTTAGAGATTATGACACCAAGTAATTTAGCATGCGGGACCACGACTATATCGTGACCGTCAATGGTGATCGGCGGAAGAGCCACGGGATCAAGAGGAGAAAACCCAACACGAACTTCTTTTGTTTTTGTAGGGTTCAGTTTCATGTTATTCTCAGAAGCCCATGCATTTAGTAGATTCTGGGCTCTTGTGACGAACAGTTCCAATATTTCTCTTCCCTTGTCGATGGTATTGTTAGTGATAAATATCTCCCGCTGAAGCGTATTAAATCTGACAGCAGCGATAAGCCCTGGATTACTCCGGAGATAAAAAGATTAATATCGAAACGCCAAGTGACCTGGCGCAGAGGAAACAAGCCTATGTTTCGATTCTATAGGAACAAGATTAATAACTTGTCTAGGCGTGCTCGCTCAAAGTATTATACCAACAATGTCGCTAATACCACTCAGTCGAATCCACGGAAGTGGTGGTCCGCTGTCAAAAATATTGCTGGCCTTGCCCCATCTAAAAACGTCACCCGTTCCCATTGGCGATTATCGCGATATTATAAACAATTAATCGTTATTGCCTTTATCGCGATAAGCCCATAGTGAGAACCAGGCTTAAGAGAAATCATTGATATTGTATTGATGTGTTGTGTAAATAGAGAATAATTCATGGATGCGCGGAAATACCAGATTTATTTACGAGAAATAAATTTGGTATTTCCAAGCATCCATGTATTTTTCTGTTTATTATATAAAGGACAGTCTTTTCAAACAAAATAAAATAAAATATCCATTTTCATGAATTTGAAATGTTTTATTTAATAAAATTGGTGATTGGTTGAAAAGCGATAATTTTCACATGTGAAATTATCATAAATAATCTCACATGTGAGATTACCAGTTTTATCAGTGATCGAAATCTCTATAAAGCACTATACTTTATATAATAATGGTTTTTAATTCACTTCATTTTCTGTTGTAGTTGTTATCATGACTACCATCATAGTAGAAGAAATTGGTAAAAATTTGCTCATGGGAGTAATTTCTGGGATTGGAAAGTAGGTCGGAGCAAAAATGTTCGACAGCATTTTTGCTGAAGATGTTCCCAGCTACTTCACTGAAGTCTACAAAGAGATCGAAAGAATCATGCATCAAGAAATAACAGAAAACACCATAAACGAAATTAACGGGCAGATAAATGGAACTACTGAGTGGGTAAAATTCACGTACAATCCCCGCAAAGATTCTGATGCATCTAAAAAGGAGTTGTACGGTCTTTTGGAGCCGAAAGTCAGTGATCTGGCGATCAACATGGTAGCAGTGCTCGAGGAGAAAACATATGCAGAATCAGCTTTGGCAGTATTCATTATTGGCGCTGGAATTCACTTGGCGCTCTTGCAGGAGCTAGCGGATGTTGATCCCAATGTAGACGATCCTCAACAGTCATCCTACATCGCTACTATTCAGGGTTATAGCCCCGAATATGCTGACCATGCAGAGAAAACCTGGGAGACTATAAAGAAGGCCAGAATCGCACAGATAACTAAGGTATGTATAAAGAGTCAGCTCTACCCACCCATGGCAGGAGGACCTCCGACTGACTACCTTTACACCTCTGAGTGGACTGATAACCTTACAGGAGAGAAGTTCACAGATGCTACTAGTTTCATTGGAGGCAAATGGACAAATGGCAACTATGCTGAGCTTGAAAATCGCGCAAATGCTGCACGCACGACTTACATTAATACCACAATAGATGAGCTCCAAATCCAGATGAATGACCCCCCACACGCAGCTGAAACTTGGAGGAAGCTGGTCGATCAACCTCTGGCAGTTATCGAATAAACTTCTAATGAATTTGTTGAAAACATTTCCGATGCAGAACAACCATTTGAAAGATTGCTTTCATTTAATCAAACAATACATGAGAACATTAAATTAGAACATGGTTCGAACGAAACGTTTTTACACTGCATTTTATCTATTAAAACCCTCACTTAATTCGTAAAACGTTTTGTCATTCACAGTACAGGATGTCCAGATATTTACGCAGCTTAATATTAGCAGCCATCGAAAATTCAATCTAAGAGATGAATTTTGACACTATTATTAAAATTGGTCTAGTGTAAACAATTTTATCGCTGTTCAAAGTAATGCGTTATCAAACCCCCTGATTGACCATGATTTCAATAGTCCATTGAGAGTCACATCACAGATTAGATAATAATAATACCAGATGAACAACTTCGCTAAAATTTTGTTCGAGAGATTTTTATACGCAAAATCACGCAATAATTCGTCAAATAACGTAATATGGCGTAAGCCACACCTGCTGGCAAAATGGCGCATAATCATATATGGAGATATATTGCGTGTACTTTCATGGTGACATTTTGCCAGTAACCGTCACTTAAAATAGTAAGTCAGGGTTTGTTCCAATTATTGTTTTAATGCCACCTTCAAGGCCGCCCATATACCATTCACTTGTAATGATTAAGATTGTACTCAGTCAGAACTGCAAAACTATATTAATAAGAAAGAAATCGTGAGCATTATCGAAAAATATAATATACTCTGAAATGTAGTGACATAGCCAGATTACTATTAGAATTTTATCCGTGCCGTACCAAAAATTGAGCGTAGTGTAAACGGGGCTTAAGATATATAAACAGACAGTCATATCTTATACAAAAGTCAGTTGACATATACTATCACATATCACATGTAATTGTTGATATAAAGTCAATATGTGCTGACAACAATCCACACAGGGTTGCTCTATGAATCTTATTACAGTAAGCCTGATTTAACAACATCTCGAGTTTGTTTTTAAATTATAAACACCTATAAATGAACACTATATAAACTCATCGTCTTGACTGGCTTGGCACATATTAACAAACAACTAAACTGAGCGGGTCATGTAGCAGCTCGAACAAGGTCTTTTGTGATTGGTCAAAGGGATAGTTAAATATTAATTATATACTGGACAAATAAATTCTATGTTCGTATACAATATAGAAATTTGTGTATTAACTTGTTCTATATTTTAATCATTTACAAGCAATGATCTTAAGGGAAGATAATCAAGCAGTTATATAGTAGCGAAGAGTATAGCATTGAAGGTAGCGAAGGTAGTAGCGAAGGTAGCGAGGGTAGCGAAGGTAGCGAAGGTAGCGAGGGTAGCGAGGGTAGCGAAGGTAGCGAAGGTAGCGAGGGTAGGGAGGGTAGCGAAGGTAGCGAGCAGGGCGAAGGGAGAGAGGGCGTAGAAACGGCCATACATCGAGCGGACCCATCCGTGATGCGGGCTTCGCGGGGGGTAAGACGTTCTAATTGTAAA